TAAATTACCTTACAACCATCGCAATACTTTTGTCTTGCGATGGTTGTACGGTCTGTGGCCAGCTTTACATTGTTCAGATGTTGAGTTGTAGTTCAGAAGGCATGCTCTGTGAGAGTTGCACCTGGGTGACACCATTGGAGGGGTGACACCAAAATAACAGACCTCTGAAAAGTCGGGCACTTGGTCATGGACCGAGAGCTCGACAGTTGCTCGAGAGAGAGGACCCGGCGCCATAGTTTATCCTGCCGGGTGAACGTCCCCTCCTCTCTCTGCCGGTGTTCATCACCAAGATGGGCACCGGCATGTAACAGCGGTACAGTGCGTGACGTCATCACGCACGTGCTCGATGACGTCATCACGCACGTGCTCGATGACGTCATTACGCACGTGCTCGATGACGTCATCACGCAGTGCTCGATGACGTCATCACGCACGTGCTCGATGACGTCACGCACGTACGCAATGACGTTACTGTTTCGAACTGGGTGTCACCCCGCCTCGGGATGCCTCTGCAAAGAAGTACATATTCACAGGGCTGATTGAAATTATGCCCCTTCTTAAAGGGACAGCCCTGCCTCTGAGAGCTCATGAGATTTCCAAGCAAGGCACTAGTGACATAACCTCCCAGGATGAATATGTGAGGCCAGGGCTACATCACCAGTGCCTCACTCAACCAGGAAGTGAAAAAAACAGTCATTGTAAAGTAGAAGTAAAATTTGTTCAACTAATGAACATGAGAGGATTTCATATCAGCCCACAGAGCTCTGCACTGATGTGATCTTTAGTAAAAGGGGGGAAGGGTCCCCTTTAAGGGCTTATAAACCGTTTATTGACTCATTGATGGCAAAGATCCAATGCTCTAATGAACGATTTTGAAGAAATTCCTAACAGTCAATGGGCGGCTTCAGAAGAGGAACGTACGAAGAAGAAGATGTTTATGCCGGACGCTTTGTTACATAATCTGCAGATGTGTTATTTGTTTTTTTACTCAGCATGTTTTAATTATAGGTCTGTAAGGAATCCATTGTTAGAGTCTCCGCCTGACACGGATCAGGCTGCTGGTAAATGATAGTAATGAATTTGTGTCTAAAAACAAACACCAAATTAGATCAGCTATGGCGTCACATGCAGTGACAGATGTGCTGACTTTACCTGATACAGTCACTTTAACCTGCCAGGGAACTGAGTTTATAGCCAAAGGGAATGTAGAGGGGTTTTGGTGAAAGAGACCCTGTCACCAACAAGAATTAATAATTGCAAGAACTTGCGCTAATGGAGAGTGAGGATATTAATTGGATAACTCTAGAACCAAAAAACATGTTTTATGTTGTTTAAAATCATATGATATTTATAAAATGATAAATTGTTATTAAAATATTATTGTTAATAAAAATTATGAAATATTAATATTGATATAAAATTATGTATAATTTAGTTGTTTTAGAAGGGTATGGGAAGCTGCTGGACTAAGGCACTCGACCACTGATATAGGATGTGTTTTTAAAAAGTACAGCGCTAACCGTCCTTCATAAATGGATATATGAGAAATCAAACGTTGGGATCGAGGTTTGAAGCATACAATTGAAGAGTATATGAAAAATATAACCCGAAAATTCAATAAAGGGTGTATCTCAAAAAATCAATATCATCAATTTAAATGCAATGTGAAAATTGTGTATAAAGGATATTAATCCATTAAATTTGATCAGTGATGTATAAAAATAGATATATATGTACAAAATATAAAATATTTGTTAATAAACCTGTGATAAATTATGAATATATGTGTCAAGTGTGGGTAAATTATATTAATAAATGGTGGATACAACAAACAATGTGTAACTAATTAAATAAATAAACATCTATAAGTGTGTATGTGAGTAGTCCAAATCTTTTAAAGTCTTTAAAAATCCATAAATATAAGGCACTTCCACAGTGAAAATTCAGTGCGTATTCCGATTAAGTGATGTGTCCAACGAAAATCCAAAAAAAAAACGAAGAAAAAATCCCAAGGGAATGCACTCACCAGATCAGAAGATGTTAAACGCGTTTCGTCACACAGACGTTTTCAAGGGATGGCGTCCCTTAAAAACGACGAAACGCATCGGGGCGGGCCTATTCTTATGTCATTTGATCCAGTCTAAAGGAATCACGCCTAAAGTGACTTAATCGGAATACGCACTGAATTTTCACTGTGGAAGTGCCTTATATTTATGGATTTTTAAAGACTTTAAAAGATTTGGACTACTCACATACACACTTATAGATGTTTATTTATTTAATCAGTTACACATTGTTTGTTGTATCCACCATTTATTAATATAATTTACCCACACTTGACACATTTATTCATAATTTATCACAGGTTTATTAACAAATATTTTATATTTTGTACATATATATCTATTTTTATACATCACTGATCAAATTTAATGGATTAATATCCTTTATACACAATTTTCACATTGCATTTCAATTGATGATATTGATTTTTTGAGATACAACCTTTATTGAATTTTCGAGTTATATTTTTCATATACTCTTCAATTGTATGCTTCAAACCTCGATCCCAACGTTTGATTTCTCATATATCCATTTATGAAGGACAGTTAGCGCTGTACTTTTTAAAAACACACCAACAAGAATTGCAGGTGAAAGGACAGAGGATTGAAAGGGTTAGATCACCTCCTGTCATGTGAAAAAGAAAGTACACCCTCTTTGAATTTTATGGTTTTGAGTATCGGGACATAATAAAAATCATCCGATCCTAAAATTAGGTCAACACAATATTTAGATGAACAACACATGACATGTTTCATTATTTAGCTTACAAACATAAAGTAACAATGGAGAAGTCATGTGTGAAAAGGAAAGTACATGATGATTCAATAGCTTATGCACAGCTCTCTTAAGATCCCACCACAGCATTTCAATTCGCTTGAGGTCTGGACTTTGATTGAGCCGTTGCAACACCTTAATTCTTTTCTTTTTCAGCCATTCTTTTGTAGATTTGCTGGTGTGCCCCTGATATGTAAAACCATAGCATTCAAAGAGGGTGTACTTTCTTTTTCGCATGACTGTATATATCACCTTTGCAGAAAAAAGTCTCTAGGCATTCCAGCTTCTGTAGTACAGTAAAAACAGTGCTCAGCATTAAAAATGATGCTTCATTTCCAAGGTCCGGCCTCTGCCCAGTCTGTCTGTAAAACTCCTGGAGCGGACAACCACCAGTGCCCCCATCAGTACAGGAATGAAAACTCTGGTACATGCACAATTGCGCATATGCAGTGCGATCTCTCCCACTTTGTTTCCGCAGCGGCTGAGCTCACTGTTGTGGAACAGAAGCAGAGAGCGCATATTGCTGATAAAGCCATGCGTCCAGCAGCCATCAGAAGGGGAGAGCCGACAGATGCGTCACCCACTTTAGAACGTTTACAGACAGAGGTCGCAAACAGCCAACAGGTATACCGTGTAATGTGGGTGGGGGAACCCCAACCCCTTGTAAGGCTATTCAATCAGCTGCAATCACTTTTCAGTTACTCTGACAGCAGCACACCTGCCGCTGTCAGAATACCTGAACAGTAACTGAATAGTGATGGCAGTCAATCAGCTGCAGACAGAATTTTGCGCCCGGCTCCTTCAATTTTCAGAACGAAGGGTTCAGGTGGGAGGCTGCCAACAGGGCCACCCACTGAGCAAATTTCATCAAGAACTGGACAAAATTTGCTCCGCGTATGGGCACCTTTAGGGTCCATTCACACCACATCCAGATTACCTCCAGACCAGACTGTTTCCGGACCCAAAATGCATCCCAATGTATCCCTATGCTATTTCTGGCCTCTGTTCCCACCAGTGCAGTCCGTTCCAGACCAGACCAGGAAAAAATACTGCTTGTCCTATTTTGTCTGGAATGCATTATGCACAAGGCTCTGTGAATGGGATGACTACAGGTCCCATCAGCCATGGCAGCAGAGGGACTCGTAGATCTCAGAGGAGCACAAGTGCGGTGACGTTGCTGCATTTGTACTCCATTGATTACTTCCTTCAGCCCCATAACAGACAATCCCTATGGAGGTGCAGACCTGAGGCTGGAGGACCCTGAGCATTGCACCCACGGTGCACCGATTACAGTTACAATGCTTTGCAGGCTCCATTGCAAATATTAATACATGATTTTTTCCTATTATTATTATTGTTATACAGGATCTGTATGTTATTATACAGGATCTATATATTATTATACAGGATTTATATAGCGCCAACCGTTTGGGCAGTGCTTTACAATATAAGGAAGACATTACAGTTGCAATACAAATCAAGACAAGATGGTAAGGAGGGCCCTGCCCGTGAGAGCTTACAATCTAAAAGGGTGGGTACATTTATTTTTTGCAAAAGTTGGATGGTGCATTTAACAGCAGCCTAATGAACTCTTATTTACAGAAATGTTCTCATTTCAACTCATTTATTTTACCAAATAGAACTATTTATCCCGGGGCGATATCTTAGTGAATTAAACCCTATAATCAAACAACAAAAAAATATAACACACAGGTGCAAAGTGCAAAAAAAAAAAGTCTAGATAAAAATAGAACTGCCTCTTTAAGAGCTTCCATCCCATTTTACTCTATGTTTACATAACAGTATGGACGCTACCACTCCGCACTGCTCTGGAGGGGGGACACTTTCTGGTCTCGCTGTCTCGCCACTGCCGTACAGCTAAACAAGGTGCGGCCTGATGACTTAGAGCCACCGAACGGCGCCAGTGGGCTCTCGGTCCGGTAAAATGAACGGTCTGGGCGGTACCAAGGAGGCGCTGTCCACGTAAACCACGCCTACTGCCCCCCGGGGGCTAATCCGGTGTTCTGTTGCCACGGCACTTGGAGAGCAGCGGGGTTCCATTTGTTGTCTGGAGGGGGAGGAGGAAGGAGGTCGGCCTGGCGAGTCATTGGCGG